CCAGTGCTAACCATTGTAGCTATCTGCAGAGTGAACCAAAGGATGGAAGATTTCTTTCTCTCTCCATCTTATCGTCCATCTGTGTTACTCTGATTTTCAAAGAAGATAAACCCTTAAAATAACAAGAAAAAAGAGGGAAGGTTGGAGACACAGAGGTCATGAAACGGGAAGATGGCAGGAAGGCATAGAGAAGCAAGGATGAAGCCATGTGACACCAGAAATAGGCTGGAGTGACACATCTGCAATTCAGAAACTGCAGTGTTGGCTCCAACACCTTGCTGTCACCATGCTGGCCACCAAGGACAGAGTGGCAGTCTATGTCCCACAGCCCCAATGCACCGTGCCAGTGACATTGGACCCCTTGTGCACAGAGATCTGGCTAGCAGGCAGCTGAATCATCTTTGCGAAGACTCCGAATGTCCCTTTTGGCCTCATTGCATGGCTGAGGGGAAATGGTCAGACCAGGATGGAATACCGTGGGGTCCCCAGAAAGCTGGCTGTGTTGAAGAGGAGCAGCTGGATGGCAGGTCAGGCACGAGACTCTGATGCACATTTTTTAAAAAAAATTCCTGTGATAGGATGCACGTGCAGGTGCTGCAGCCTGGATCATGCCCATTTTATTGTTTGGGTCCTCTATTTTACGTATTGTTTTCAAAACTTGAGCACCTAGCTTGGCTTTTTCCAGGTGTGTCCTAAGTTCCCCGTTTCCTGGAGCAGCTGTGATTTTGTCAACATGGCCACTGTTTACAATGGCAGCAGCTGTAGCCTTCAGTGCCAGGAGGGAATGGGGCCCTGGCATGCGTTTCTCCCCACACTTGGGGAGTTGACTACTCATCACTGTGCCTGCTTCTTGGCTTTTCACAGACTTGTTTTTGAAACAGTTTTAGTTTTGTCACAACCCAGACTCATTCAGAAAGAATATTTAGATAATATTTCTGTTGCATGGGAACCCAGAACAACATAAAGTTGTACATATCTACTTGTGTACATTTTCTTAAAAAAAAATTTAAAGTAATCTTTCAAAGGCACTTTGTTGGGCCTGTGTGATGACTCAGTGGCTAAATCTTCACCTTTCGTGCTCCAAGAGCCCATGTGAATGCTGGTTCGTGTCTCAGCTGTCCTGCTTCCCATCTAGCTCCTTGTGGCCTGGGAAAGCAGTAGAGGATGGTCCAAAGCCTTGGGACCCTGTGCCCATGTGGGAGACCCAAAAGAAGCCAGGATTCAGGAGCTCCTCTGGGTCTCCCGTGAGGGTGTGGGGGCTCATGGATTTGAGCCTTCTTCCACTACTTTCCCAGGACCTTAAGCAGACAGCTGGATCAGAAGTGGAGCAGTCTGGACATGAACCAGTGCCCACAGGGACGCCGGCACTGCACATTGGAGAATTAGCCTATTGAGTCATTGTGCTGACCGTAGCACATTTATTTTCGTTATTTATTTCTTCATGTCACCCCCAGAGCCAAAGTGACAGACTCACAACCCTACCTTACCCCAGGAGTTCCCAAGCAGGGGCAGCCACAACTCTGGCTTCTGAGGACATAGGCTCTCGGTCCATTCCCCAGTTGCAGCTCTTGCCATCTGTGCCATAGAAGCTGTCACCACTGCTCTCCTTGGGGGTTGCAGGGTGATGGATGTGAGCTGTGGACCTGCTCTAGGCTGTGGTGTGACTCACCTCTTGCCAGAGATGCAAGTTGCAGGCCCTGTGTTGGTGACTGTGGCCTCACCGGCGTAGCAGGGGCCGGCAGGTGTACTTAAGCATCCCCAGGTGAGAATGTCTTGGATTCAGGGCAGGGGAGGGCCTTATCAGAGGAAGGGGGCATGGGCAATGCAGGTGGCACGAAATGTGGCAGTCTGAAGCCAAGGATGCTCAGGACACCGGGAGAGGGACACAGCAGCGAGGGCACTTAGACTCCCTGCTGACCCCAGCACTTCAGACTGCAACCCCCAAGCCGTAAGGACACTGCTTGTGTCAAATTCACCAATGTGTGGTCCTCTGCTATGGCAGCTTTTAGAAGCTAACACAGGGCTGTGGCGTTGAATGAGGGCTCAGAGTTTGTTGAATGAAAGAACTGAGTGAGGAGGCTGGCCAGCCCGTGGTTGGCACGATATCATCTGTTGCTGCCTCCCTATTAGCTCACCGCCCCTACCCCAGGCATCCTCACTGCAGTTGGGGAGAGCTGTCCCCTCCCAAACATCTAGCCAAAGACGGAGTGGATCCCTTGGAGAAAGCAGAGGTGGAACAGGCTGTGCCTCTGCTGTGGCCGGTGGGGCCGCAGGTGCGATGTTTAGAGGAAAGAAAATGGTTTTCTGGCTTTTCCTCTTTTGGATCTGATTGTCAGGACTGGCAGACATGGGCAACCCCCATCATGTCCCTGTGGGTATGTATGTACTTTCGGCCACGCCTGCCCATGCCCACCTCCCTTGGTGTCCAGCACTGTAAGAGTGATGACCATGCCTCTGAATGCACTCTTAAGCTGCTGGAACCAGGGCTTTGTCTTCAGCAGTGCAGCTAGGGAAACTGAGGTACAGAGAGGCAAAGACATGTTGTGGAGGGACAAAGCCACTGTCCCTTCACATCCTCATACCTACACTGCCAGCCTCTCTCTCTCTCTCACACACACACATTCACACACACACACACACACACACACACACACACACACACACACACACACACACACACTTACTCTTTACTCTCAGGCCAGCAGGGTCTGTGGGTATGATGCCTTTGGTAATGCAGTCACTGCTGTGTCAGCCCTTGGGGTCCCATATAACCAGGGCTGGGCTTTAGCTGGCTCACTCCTCACACACCCCACCTATTGATGAAGAGAATGGGGCTCCTAGAGGTTGACAGCTCTGGAGCAACTGGAACAGGCCTGGCTGACTCCAGAGCCCCCTGCCACATGCCCCAGCAGGGACAGTATGCCTACCCGTCAGCCAGGACTTGGACGATTGTTGGGACAGCCCTGAAGCCCAGTGGCTCCAGCTCCTTGCAGCCAAGTGCCCAGCTGGTGTCTGTTGAATGAGCACACGAGGTTTGCAGGATCCCAGGGCCTGAGAAGGGCTCAGCAGAGCTCAAAGCCCAGGTCTTCTATCACTGTGCAGTTGAGTGTCAGCAGGCAGGGCCCGCCCCCACAGGAGCTGTGAGCAGCCTGGCTTGACCCAGTCAGGCCTGGGCGGCCACTATGGGTGGTGTTTCCTCTCACAGGGGCTGCCAGCCCGCAGTGAGGCCGAGGCTGGTCCCCAGGGATGGGTGCTTCTCTGAACAATGTCGGGAAAGGAAACCAGACCCAAAGGCTCTTGGGGCTTTTCTGGTAGTTTCTGAGTTGTGGAGGGGGAAGGCTGGTGACAATCCCCTGAGCAGGGCTGCTGCCCTAGGCAGTGGAGATACCCAGGCACAAACAGCACCAGCTCTGATCGGGACACTTAGTTCTGTCCTGCCGGCTACTCTCGGCTCCCTAAGCAACGTTAGCAGGCAGGTGCTTTCCCACAGACCTTTATTGAACTGTCATTCACACTACAAACTAAGCAGCTCAGAGGCACACTCAATCACTTCAGCATCCCCGAGGGAGGCCCTGGACCCCTGAGCCGTCACCTTCCACTATCCCCACATCCCATCTGATTCCCATCTCTACAACTCTGCTGAGTCAGGATATGCCAAAGGTGGATGTCAGGGTGATCAGAGTGGGTAGCCGAGCAAGCTCAGGGCACACAGCCCAGAAAAAGGCCATTCTGGGACTTGAACCCCGCTCCCTTGCACTCCAAAGCCACCCTGTCCTGTGGCCCTTCCTTCTCCCCAGCAGCAGTGTCAGTAACAGCCAGCCCTGGGCAGTGCGGTAGGGTGGACACCTCACCTGTGTCGCCTCAGCTTACAGGTGGAGGGAGGGAGTCCTGGGCCACGCGGGTGCGGGTGCGGGTGCTCGTGGGCTCCTAACAAGCAGGGGAGGGTCAATGTTAAACCCTGTGACCTGAGGACAGGTGTATGACGCCGAGGCAAGCTCATGGCCATGCTGCTGGACACAGGGACGCTTTCTCCCCACCCTCCCTTTTTTTCTTTTTACAGGAAAAGGAAAAGAAAGTACCCTCCACCCTTTGAGGTCACTTCCTGACCCACGTGTGAATCAACAGCTCAGTGGTCACACACTCACTTCACCCCTCCTGCCCCTCCTGTCGGTGCAGGAGAGGTGCTGGTGTGGTCAGCTGGTACTGTTCCTGGCACTGACCCATGAAGGCAGCACGGAGGCCAAGCATCCAGCACATTTCTTAGTTAGCTAGCCAGCCAGCCAGCCAGCCAGCCAGGCCCTGGCTTTGCATTCAGCACTCCCAGGGGGAGCACTTTAGCTGTGGGCAATCTCTCCTTGGTCCCCTGGAGACAGGTGAAGGGGAGTCTGGCAGTCGAGATACCCCCGCCCACACTGGAGTGAGCCAGCAGCCATGGATGCGTCCTCAGCATCCACGTGGGAGATTTGCTTTGAGTTTGATATCTCTCTCCCTCCCCCCTTCTCTCCCTCTCCCGCCTCTCAAAAAACAACCATTTCAAGCCAAGAGAGAATGGGACAAAAGTAGCATTTTCTAAAAACAAACAACTCCACTGTGGTTTTCTCACTGCAAATACCGGAGAACGACTGTTGGGGTTCGCTCATGACTGTAATGAACTTTTGGGGCCGGCACATTTGGAATCAGGTTTTTGCACCTGGGCATTTGGGAGGCTCTCCTGAAAGTGCTTAAGCGCGGCCCCAGCGGCTTCTAATTGGGGCGAAACGAGCGTAACTAAGGCTCAGGCTCCACACCTGCACCAAGCAGGCGGGGAGGTTTGCGCTCCCGACCCAGCCCGCGGCTTCCCGTCCCGACGCCTCCGTTTGGGTTCCTGGCCTGGGCCGCCTCCGCAGCGGGGAGGCCGAGAGGGACGCGGCGCTGGGGGGGCCGAGAGAGGCGGCCCCGGGGTGGCCCGGGAGGAGTCACGTGGCCCCGCGCCCGGGCCAAAGCAGAAGTTGCGAGCGCGGGCGGCGGAGGGCGTGCACCGCAGGGAGTGCCCGGAGCCCGGACGCCGGAGGCTGCGCGGGACCCCGGAGCCCGGACCCGCGGCTAGCGGGTGGGCGGCTGCGCCCTGGGCGGCACTGCCAGGTGAGTGGGGGCGCACGCGGGGCACGCAGAGACCTGCGCCCAAGGGTGGCAGCGCCCGATGAGCTGCCCTCGGCAGGGCTCCGCGCCCGGGTGCAGCTGGCGCGGGCAGGGGTAGCGTGCGCTGTCTGACCGCCTACCCCCTCTCCCGGGACCGCTACGCCTGGGGCCTGGCTGGCGACGTTGGGGATCCGGCCCAGCCGCCGGCCACTTCCTCACCCGGGGCCGGCGCCACCTCTCCAGGTCCGTGCAGTGCTGCGGCCTCGACTTTGAATGGGTACTGGAGGAAGCGGCACGACTCGTGGTCAGGGGGTCGCAAGGACGTCGGCGAGCAAGGGTCCTGTAGGAGGGATCCTACGTGGGGGTGGCGCCGGCTCTCCGAGCGCTTCTCCGAACGGCACAGGTGGTCGCGGGAGGGCGGGCGGTAGGTAGTGCCGTCGGGGTCGCAGCCCTTTGCCGTGAGACGCCGGGAGCGGCTAAGGACTTTGCTTTTTCCCTCCCCTGCCCGGCACTTTTAATGTGGTGCCTGTGCGTTTTCATGGTTATGCTTTTGAGTCCCAGAGAAGTTATGCCCCCTTAGCGGAAGAATTCATTCGAGGGACAAAGCTTGTTGGCATCTGGTTTTGGGTGGAGGTTGAAGTGGGATCTCTGAAGCCCCCTGGTCTCGAACTAGACAGTGGACTGCAGTGGGTGAGGGGCGAACCTCCTGTGAATTTCGGTTCCACCAGAGTGGCCCTCGGCAGGGGAGGAGCCTTGGGCAGTCTCGGTTTCGCCCCCTGGCTACTGCAGCCACCCAAGCCCACTTAGCAGGGCAATGCCGAGAACCAGGCCCAGCTGCGTGGACAGGGTAACCTAAAGTTTTCGGCCTTCTGGGTATGGTGCTCCTGGCACAGAGAGGCCCTACCCCTGCTGCGGCTGGTCTTGGGGCCTGAGGCTGCCTCTCACTTTGCAGCCAGCGTGGGAAGAGGTGTCTCCTGGACCTGATCGAGCGCTCTGATGCATTCCCTGGCCGGAGTTGGAGGATGGGAGGTGGGAAAGACAGGGGGAGAGAAACTTTTGGAAACACTGCTTAATTGGGCAACAGCAGAAAGGAAAACTTAAAGGTTCTGTCCCCACGTATAAATGCGTGCAAGCTCAGCAGCGGCTGGGCCTCCCCCGCCTGGGCAGTGAGCACTGTGAGTGCCCTGGGCCTTCCGCTGGTCTCACCTGCAGCCCCGTCTCTGGTGCGTGCCTCCCGGAATTGGTTGCAGTTGAATGATTTCCCCAGTTAATTTTTTTTTCTTTTTGTGTCACAAACACTGCTGCTGTGAGCTGCTTGGTGTCTAGTGTTTTGGTTGGCTTAAAGTACCTGCAGGTTGCATCTTTTTTTTTTTTCATGCTTTTATTTGTAAGGCAGAGTTAAAGAGAGGGAGGAGGACACATACATACAGAGAAAGAATTTTTAATTAGAGATTTATTTATTTTTATTGGAAAATCAGATACACGTAGAGGAGGAGAAACAGAGACCTTCCGTCTGATGATTGACTCTCAAGTGACTGCAACGGCCAGTGCTGTGCTGATCTGAAGCCAGGAGCCAGGAACCACCTCCAGATCTCCCTCGCGGGTGCAGTGTGCCAAGGCCTTGGTCCGTCCTTGACTGCTTTCCCAGGCCACAAGCAGGGAGCTGGATGGGAAGTGGAGCTGCCGGGACTAGAACTGGCGCCCATATGGGATCCTGGTGCGTTCAGGGCGAGGACTTTAGCTGCTAGGCCACCACGCCAGGCCCAGAGAGAGAGAATTTATCTCCCACTCAAGCGTTCACTTTTCAAATGGCTGCAGCAGCTGAGGTTGGGTTAGGTAGAAACCAGGAACCCAGAGCTCCGTCTGGGGCTTCTGCACTGGCGAGGGGCCGTGCATTTGGGCCAGCTCATACTGTTTCCCAGGAGCATTCGCAGCGAGCCAGGTTGGAGGTGGAGCAGCCGTGGGATGCCGTTGTCACAGGTAGTGGCCCTCTGGGTATGTGCCACCACCACCAGGAGTGCACACGGGGTGCTCTAAGGACCAGAGCAGCCAGCAGTGGAAGCCTACGGCGCCTGTTCCTTCCAAGGGTCTCACCTGTGGAGGGGATGGCGGAGACAGGAGCGCTGTCCTGGTTCCTGCCGTGGGGGCTCTCGTAGCTGGGAGGTGCATCGTGCAGAGAAGGCGTGGGATGGCACAACGGCAAAGCTCTGTGAAATCTCGGCCATGTTTATATTTACACCTCGGTCACTTCGTAGGGTTACCCACGGAGGGCGAGAAACAGGAAGAAAAAAGGGATTGCGAGGTTGGTTCTTTTTTTTTTTTTTTCTTTTAAAAAAGCAGAAGCAAAATGGAAATTGCTCTGCCAGTTACTGCTCTCTCTGGGGGTCAAGGCCTTATACCTAGGCTGGGCGCAAGAGCTGGCAGGATTGTGTAGGTGACTGCATGGGAGAGAGGCACCATGGGCGTGTCAGTGGCGATGGACTCACTGGGCTTCTGGGCTGGAAGGACTTGGAAGCCTAGCGTGGGCTCAGCTCCGTGCCCTCCCAGGACAGGGTTGGGCAGAACCTAGAAGCCTGCTGCTTTCTGTTTGCCTTGGAGGCAGTGGAGTGTACTTCCTACCTGTGTCCTGCCGGATGTTGGTCTTGAGACCCAGGAGTGGGGAACCCCAGCATCACGTGGTGGGAGGCAGTTGGAGCTTTGACTCAGCCTCAAACCCTGAGTCTGCCTCTCTGTAGCTGTGTGACCTTGGGGTAGTCCTTCGGCAGTTCTTGAGAGGGACAGGGGCTGCTGGAGGATTCTGAATTCTGAAACACAGGTGCTGAATGGGCTTAGGGATGTGGCCCGGAATTTCTGTCTTGCTGCCGCTAGTCTGGGCGACTTCAGTCGAGCAATTTCACTTCTGAGGGCTTCTGTGTTCCCCTCTGGTATTTCTCATGGAGAGAAATGAGAGGAACCAGGTGTGGCAGCTGCTTGGCACCTGGGGGAGGGCCCGAGGGTTCTTCAGATGAGCCACAGGGGACCTTTCCCATTCCTCTGTCTTGGCAATGTGCAGACAAGAACACTTGAGCTTCAGCTGACTTCTGAGGCTGGTTTCTCCTCCTCGGTCATTTTCAAAGGTTGTTTCCTGATGCCCCATTTCCTAGAAACTTTATTGAAATGCCCTGAACTCTTCACCCTTTCCCAGATTAAATGGAGAGCCCCTGGCTTACTGCTGCCACTCTCAGCTAGACTTGGAATTGTCTGGTTTGTTTCCAAGTGGGTAGAGAGCAGGTGCAATTAATGATTCAGTCTTCTGCCAGTGCACCTGAGGAGGTGCCTTTGGTTTACAGGTATGCAGGGGAGGGGACAAAGGTCAAGGCTGGGTCTGTCCTTCACCTGATTTGCAACCTAGTGTGGGTGTATATGGGAGCAGAGGGCCTGCCATAGAGCAGGCCTTGATCACCGTGCTCACCCGCTGGCTAACGAATGTTGATCAAAGCCCTGCCCAGTGCTTTGTGCTCTACACGCATTGCAGCTTTTAGTCCTTGCTGCCTGTCATCCCTGGAAAGTATTTTATTGCAGCCCCTTTCCCCAGTTTTGTAGATGGGGAGTTGAGGCTCAGAATTTTAGCCACCTGACTGGTGGCTGTGCCAGGATGGAGGGCCTCATAGCCTTGGCTGCATGCCTGTCTCTCACTTCTGGTCTTTGAGTGGGAGAGCTTTCCTTAATGTCACTGTCACCACAGGGTTGCCAGAGAAACCACTCTGGGCCTCTAAAGGGACCTGGAGGAGGAGGCAGGACACAGACAATTGGTGGCAATACTCACAGTAGCTGAGATTAAGGAGCCCTGACTTTGTCTCCTTGCTTTAAGGACCTGAGATGCATTGGCGTATAAAATCCTTCCAAATGTGTAAGAGCTGGGTAGTGATGCTTTCTTGTGCTATAGTGGAAAGGAGGCATCGAGAATTGACATGACTTCCTGTAACAGCTGGCCCTGAGCTAGCAAAGTAGGCTCCACTGGGTTCTGCTCCAGAGCTCAGGACTCAGAGTTCCGTATTGGACAGGCAGCATATCCTTGGACATTTGGGATGAGGGTAGTGGAGTGGCACAGAGTGAAGGCTCAGGGCGTGGCTGTGGGGCCCACGGACAGGAGTGACTGTGACATGATGTGGCTCATGTTCTAAAGGAAATTGTTTGGCTGTTGATGGGTCAGTTAGCAGGTGGTTAGAACAGTTACACCTGAGACCCTTGTTGGTGTTCTAGAGTTGCTGGTGGGTAGCCTCAATGGACACCTCCAAGACCTTGAACCCGAGCACCTCTATAATTAAGCAAAGGCCAAGGGCACTTGCTAGGAATTGGCACCCAGGTGTTGTGCTGCAACTTCCTTGCTGTCCCAACACTTGTGCTCGAGGGAGGGAGCAGGGCAAAGCGGGCTGTAGGGGCCTCATGGTCAGCCAGAACTTACACCAGGATTGGGACTTGGGGTTGCTGGGTTCTGGTGTGTCCTGTCCCTTGATCCCCATTTCCCATCAGAGAGGTCAGTGGCTCAGGACTCCATGGACACAATGTAAAGGTCAAGTTTTGTTCTGTTCTTGTCTGTTGCCTGCTTTACCTTGGAGTCAAGGGGAGGTCAGTGTCTTCAAGGTGGGCCAGACAAGGATGGCGGGAGCCAGACTGGGCTGCTTTGCATATTGAAATATTCACAATAGGGGTGGGAGTAAAGGGAGGGGATTGTGCCAGGATGAGGCAATTTGGTTATTCAAAGCCAGGGTGGCAGTCGGGGACTTCCATTTAAACCTGTGTTCTGCCTGGGCTCTCGGAGTGTTCAGTAAGTTCTTGCCACTGGAACCTTCTAAAAGTCCACAGGGTGAGCATGTGATGGGGTTTGGCTCCGGGAGTCCGTGTTCTGTTAACTAAGCCGCCCCCTCAGTGAATTCAGATCAACTCACAGCTTTGTTCTCTTTCTAGCCTCCTTGCTTCTCCTGACTGCTCCCTGCTCCCTGGAGCGGCCCATGATGAACACCATGGCGAATGTGGAGGCCCTTCCGGAATATGAGAAGAGCCAGATCAAGAGAGCTCTGGAGCTGGGCACTGTGATGACCGTGTTCAGCTTCCGCAAGTCCACACCAGAGCGGAGGACTGTCCAGGTGATCATGGAGACCCGCCAAGTGGCCTGGAGCAAGACGGCTGACAAAATTGAGGGCTTCTGTGAGTACCCGTGGGAAGGGATGAGGCAGCGTGGCGTGGCCTTCAATCCAGCACCTGTTCTCCTCCTGCCCTCAGTGGCTATGAGTGTTGTAATTCTTGCTAGTGTGACACCTTGCTTTATTCTTCTACATGTGAAAGTGTTGAGTGGTATGGGGTCTCTGATGCAGATACCAAGCCAGGGAAGGAAGTGTTGGTGGTAGACTAGAAGCCTAAGTAAATGAACTTGGACTTGACTTTCAGAGAGCCTGCTAGAACTGCTCATCGTGTTCTCGGTTGGAAAGCCTCAGGGCTTATCTGGTCCTCCAGTCCACTGAAGACATGCCCGCCTTGGAGCTGATGGGTTCACTTCAGCACAAACCTGTAGCTTGGGGGGCCAGATAGACCCCAGCAGCTAGAGGCCTCATGAATGCGTTGTAGCCTTCAAATGAACTCCTGGTTCCAGCAGAGGTATCTTTCCTTGACTTTGTCCTACAATTGTTTTTAACGAGTAGCCTGCCATTTTCAGCTGCAGGCTTGCTTTACTTTGCCTTTCTCCGGGATTCATTTTTTTTTTTCATAGACAATCCTTCTTGTGAGCTGGGGAGCCAGACAACCCCCCTGCAAACTTCTTTCTTCCCTCCCTCCTAATCCAGACCATGGAGACAAACCCCTTGCCAGTTTCTTTTGTTGTTCAGGAATATTCACTGCCAGTGTCGTGTATTTTCTTGTGGAAGTAGGAGCTGGTGCACTCTTGTACCTGATTTCTGTTTCTATGGAGTGATTTTCTTGGGGTTGGTTTGCTTATCAGCCCAGGTGGATCTGTCTCACTGCGCACCGCCATAGAGCAGCTGGCACCTGGCCATGTGTAACAGTTTAACCCAGGATTGGACATTTCGTGCTGTTTACAGCTCTTTGTCGTTAGCTGCAACAACTTGCATTTTAATTAACGCATTATGGAGTTGTAATTCATCTATACATATAACTCACCCATTTAAAATGTCCATTGGGGTGGCTTTGTTATGTTTACAATTGTGTGCAAACACTAAAATTTTACATGACATTTTCAACATTTTTGTTTGGGGAAGGGGAGAGAGAAAACAATAGAGATAGAACTCCCGGCCCCGGTTCAGCGCCCAAATGCCCACAGTGACCAGGAGCAGACTACGGCCAAAGCTCGGAGCCAGAAACTCAGTGGGGGTCTCTCCCAGGGCTGGCATGAACCCAACTGCTTGAGCCATCATGTGCTGCCACCCAGCATCTGGGTGGCAGGAAGCTAGAGCTGGCGCAGAGCTGGGTGTCAAATGCAGGCTCTGCAGTGTGGAACATCGGTGCCTCACCTGCTGTGTCAGATGTCCTGTCCTCACCTCGCAAGGAAACTCTGTACCCTCTGCCATCCCCATCTCACACCCTCCCCTCAGCAGCTTCACTGTGGGTTTCCCTCTCATGGACGCTTCATGCCAATGGAACTGTGTCAAAGGTGGCCACTGGCCGCTGCCTCTTACACTCAGCCTCTTGTTTTCAAGGCTTACCTGCTTTGAAGGCTGCGTTGGAATTCCATTGCTGTTTACAGCTAACTAGAGTTCCCTCTGATGGCTCTCCCAGCTTACTTATCCTTTGGTCTGTTGGGGTTATGTCTGCTTTTTGCTAACACAAGTAGAGCTGCTGGGAGTGTTTGTGTCCCAGTTCCCTGTGTGCAGGTTTTTATTCCTTTTGGCCATGTCCCTGGGAGGGAAGTTGCTGGGTCCTAGGCTCCCCTTGTGTGGTCCCTGGGAGTGCCAGGCTGCAGGTGGACATACATTCTTTGTCTAGCAGGGACAGAGGGAAGATGTCTGCTGTTTGGAAGACTCATTTCTGAGTTCAATGGTACAGCATATTTCAACTTTCAAGGGCATTTTCGCAGTACCCCACAAAGGGACCCCCAAATCTGACTGAGGGCACCCTGTTCCCTCAACCCTCCTTGCTGTGGGGTTCTGAACCTAGCCATTCCCAGGTGGATTCCAGGAGCCGGGCCCAGTTCTTGATTGCACTGATCTTATCAGGAGGGGAAACTATGAAATGTTTTCCCAAAGACCTTTCCCGGGCATGGGAGCCAGGCCGGAAGCCCTGCCCGGCTGAGGAGGTGGCCAATGGCCCCTCCACCCACCATGCCAGTTCTTGTTGAGGCCAAACACGGACAGTTGATACAGGTGGAAAGTCCAGGGTGGCTGGCTTTCTCTCCTTGACCAGCGGGCTTCGAGCTGTGCTGCTGACAGCAATTGCTTGGGTAGCAGATTCTGGGAAATGCTGGCTCCCATTTGATCCTGCTGGGCGTGAGCTGGGCTTTTGACCCCAAATCCTCACCCTGTAAGCACCTACCACCTCCAGCCCATGTTCCTCTTATTTCCTTACTTCTTTTCCAGTTAGTGGCTGAGTGGGTGATTGGTGGGCTGTTGCTTTGGGCTCTGAATTCCAGGAAGCCCCCTGGTGTGACCCCAGTGACTGCCACCACTCTTCCCCTCCCCTTGTTCCTTCCCCCTGTTTCCTCCCTCTGTTCCTTTGCCCCCTCCTCTTCTGCCCCCACATTTGAATGCTTGTTCTTCCAGGTACTGTTCCAGGTAGTGGAGCTACAGCAGTAGTTAAATGAGATTCAAATCCTCAGGGAACCTGCATTGTTTTATTAGGCATCAGTGCTGCAGGCCTTGACTGCAGGAGCTCTCAGTGGGCTTTGCTCTAGAAATCAAGCGGGGCTGTTTCTTGAGCTTCAATGGTCTGACCTGCAGAATGGGAACCACATTTCTATTGGCCTCCCAGGGCTGTGGCGAGGGATGAGCTGATGAGGAGCCACACCCAAGGGCTTTGGTCCAACACAGCACCCAGTCTCCACCCTCTCGCTCTGAGGGCGGCATCTTGCAGGGAAGCCTAGCTCTCATGTTCCTTCAGGTGGTGTGATGAGCAGAAACTGGCTGGGGTCTGCAGGAGAACTGTCTGGGGCCTGCAGGAGATCTGGGAGGCAGTGTGTGGCTTTGAGAATGGGAATCCCAGCTGCTGTTGAGGTCCTTTTGTCTGACACATTGAGCGGCTCTCACCTGGGGTTATTTTACCTTCTTTGCTCCTGAGGCCGGAGGTGGGGTGGTGGTGGTAGCATGTGGCAAATGTCTGGAGACACAAGTCGAGGCAAGACATGTCTGGCAACTAGTGTACTGAGGCCAAGGTGCTCTAGGCCCTGTGATGTACAAGGAACTGTCCAGCATGAAGTGTTTCGAAGCTGGGATTGGAAGAACTTGGAATCAGCACTTGCTTTACCTCACGTGACAAAGTGTTGAATCGGGAGGATTCTGGGGCTTCATCTGGTATGACTATCCCTTTGCTTCAGCTCGTTTTTGTCCTTGCCACTGAGACTGGAGGACAAACAGGGTACCGGTGGGTGTTACTTGATGCAAATGAGTACGTTCGGGGGTCCGAGAGAGGGCAGAGTTCAGTCAGGTGGTTCTTCTACTCTTTGTGGCTGGGACTGGTCATTTAGTGGTACTGAGATGGTATGTTATCTGTTTGGAAGTTTCCAAAACCTTCCCTCACACATGTAGTGCCTTGGTGGTTACGAATGGAAGACTGGACCAGCTGGGACAGTTGACCAAGTGCTGACCATGGGGTGGTCTTAGCAGAAGCTGCATGGCCTCTTGTCACCAGTCACCAGCAGTTCTCTAAGCCTGGTTCAGTTTAAGGATGGAGAAGCTGCCTCCTGGAGAGGAGGTATGTCCATCCCAGATGGGCAATGACAGCTGACCTGAGCCCAGAACCTGTGGACTCAGGATCCAGTCTCTGCCTTTCCCTGGAGGTGTGTCTGGTGATTTCACCGCTCATGCTTGTTTCCATGTCCAGTGAGATGAAGGAGTGTGGGTGGGAATGAAGGGTTTTGTTTATTTATATTTTGAAGTTCATCTTAGCAGATCATAGTGCTGGTTCGAGACTTGCACTTAATCCTGAATATTCCTGCTTTTTTTTTTTTGAGAGAGAGAGATTTATTTATTTATTTATTTTAATTGGAAAGGCAGATATACAGAGGAGAGAGACACAGAGGAAGATTTTCTTCTGATTCACTCCCCAAGTGACCGCAGCGGTCAGAACTGAGCCAATCTGAAGCCAGGAGCCAGGAGTTTCTTCGGGGTCTCCCACACAGAGGCAGGGTCCCAAGTCCCTGGGCTGTCCTTGACTGCTTTCCCAGGCAACAAACAGGCAGCTGGATGGGAAGAGGAGCTGCTAGGATTAGAACCGGCGCCCACCTGGGATCCTGGTGACGCGTGCAAGATGAGGACTTTAGCCGCTAGGCTTCCATGCCTGGCCCTGTTTTTTATGCAAGGAGTATTAACTGTGTTGAAAATACAATAAGAAGGACTGGCACATTGGCTTAACTGGCAAATCTTCCACCTTCAAGGGCAGCATCCCATATGGTTGCCGGTTTGTGTTCTAGCTGCTGCATTTCCCATACAACACTTAGGCCTAGGAAAGCAGTGGAGGACGGCCCAGTGCCTTGGGACCCTACACCCGCATCGGAGACCTAGAAGAAGCTCCTGGCTTCGGATTGGCTCAGCTCCGGCCTTTGTGGCCATTTGGGAAGTGAACCAGCAGGTGGAAGGTCTTTCTGTCTACTCTTATCTCTGTAAATCTGATTTTCCAATAAAATTTTTTAAAATAAAAATGAAGTACAGTAAGAGCAGGAAGAAAAGGAGCTATGTGGGAGGAGGTCCAAGGGTCTGACCCCGATTGAGACATTTGTGCGCCCTGAGAGAGTCCTCTTGCCTGCCAGGCTTCAGTCTCCCTTCTACTTTCCAAGTGGAACAGGGCTGCAGTCTTCCCAGCTCTGGCCTTTTGCAGTTACAGGCGTGAGTCTGGGCAGAGGGAGGAGCTGGTGGAATGGCTGGGCCAGGCTGTGTCTGTGGTCTCTTTTCTCTCCCGCCCACAAAGCCTTGGTCAAGGAGCCTCAGTAGAGAAAGGCCAGCTCTGGGCACATTGATGTGGAGGCCTGGGGGTGGGGGGCCCTCCTG